GCCACTGGCCAGAGAATCGCGCTTGCTGACGGTGCTAGAGGTCGTCGAGGATGACTTGAACTTGACCGGGAACTGGCCAAACTTCTCAGCAAGGGTGACGGCACCATTAGCACTAATAGTTGCCGAGGTCATCGATCCTGCGTAAAGAGATCCTCCTCCGGGAAGATCGAGAATGCCAGTAGTCAGGATTCCGTTCAAGGCCGGGACAGGGCCGTTGAGGTTCTGCAGCCAATTCTTCTGAGAGGGCACCCAGACGGCAAAGCCGGAAGCCTGAATAGCTGAGTTGTCTCCGAACGCGTTGATCTCGCTGAAGTCGCCAGTGAATGTAACGACCGACTCTGCCTCACTCTCGCTTGTAATGTTGACGAGCATCGGGACAACGTGGGAGACTTCGCCGTTGACGCCTGCACCAAGTGCAGTCCACGTGTTGGCGGAGGTGTCGTACACACCGACATTGTTGAGACCTGTGACGGCATTGTCGAGGGTGTTGGAGAAGACACCGCCAACGTAAAGTTGAGTACCGTTGAGTTCCATCGCCTTCACTTCGCCATTGAGACCGCCGTCGAGAGCCATGGTAGCCTCGCTTGCCGTGTTGATACCAATGACATTGCGGGCAGTAGATGACGTAAAGTTGCCTCCGACGATGACCAAGTCGCCAGCAGTCGTCAAGCTAGTGACTGCAGATCCTGAAGAGAATGAGGACCCGAGCTGGTTGATCTTGGAGCTCTTGAAATCAGTGTTGACTGTGGCAGACGAAGGGTCGAAGTCGAATAGGCCATTCAGGCCACCCGTCGAATTAATGAGCGTGAATCCGACTCGCTGAGCGACAATGGTCATTTCATCGATGCTCTGCCCAGCCAAAGGAGTCAGGGTGACGCTGGGCCGGAAGCCGTCTGCTGAGCTCGCCTCGATATAGCCGAAGTAGATCTGGTCATACTTGTCAAAGTTATTAGTCTGGTAAAGGGACGTAGTAAACTTGTTGCTACCAGTGGACGACATGATGCCGGTAACGTTAACCTGTGCTCGGGTCGAGCAGGTACCGTCTTGCAGGCAGCCGGGCGTGTACAGGTTGACGGAATAGTTGCCAGACTCCTTGAGATCCGGGAGGAAGGTAACCGTGGCGGAGCTTGCGCTGATGGTTCCGGATAGCTTGGCAGTCAAGTACTGAGAGCTGCTCTGCAAGGAAGGAGAAGTCGACCACGGTCCGGTGGTTGTGGCAGATGACTTGGTGTCACTATCTGCGCAGGCCGGGGAGTTGAAGTCGTTGATGGCGTACGAGTTGATGTCGTCCTCGAAAAGTTGGATGCCGTTCAGACCACCGCCAGATCCGTAGTAGTCGGAAATATCGATTCTGAATGAGTTCATTCCGACCAGGTTGACAAAGTGGAAGTCCTGGAACTTGAGAGTCGAGTTGTTGCTGAGAGGACACTCGCTAGTGCAGGTAGCGTTCTGACCAGTCGTGGGGTCCACGTAGGTCATGTTCAAGATACCGCCCAGAGGGAGAGCAGTAAAACGGAATGTCTTAGTTCCTCGGCCGTCCTGGTGGGTGTTCCAGAGCCGCATCTTGGTGGGCTGGAAACCGAAGCCGAAACTTGCCTGCCAGAATCCAGCAGAGTTGTCGCGGAGCAGCCAAGTGTTGCCTGAGCCATCAGCCCCGTCCGTCTTGCAGATGATGTTGCGAGGGTCACTGAAGCCAGCGGTAGAGGTGCTCGAAGCCGAAGTAATGTTGGCAGTCGAGAGGTTGATAACCTGTCCATCTGGGGTGCTGGGAGTGCTAGTGTTGCCAAGCCCAGTGAAGCTGCCGCCAAAGACGATGTGGCCGTTTGAAGCCTTGGTGATGGACGAAACAGGGCCGTTGAAACCAGCGAAAGGAAGGTTAGTCCATCCATCGGTGCCGTACCAGGCGATTGCGTTCGTCGAGTTGGCGCCTCTGAAGTTACCTCCAACATAAACGGTGTTGGCAGCTTGGTCGCAGAGAAGAGCGTTCACCTGACCTGACAGACCGGCCAGAGGGGTGATCTGGGAGGTGTTGGGGTTGAACAAGGCAATGCCTTGAGACTGAGTGCCATCCAAGCTCGTGAAATTACCGCCAATTACCACTCCCTGCATCGTTCCATTGTCGAGGGTGAATGTGCACATGTCGTGAATTGAGGCATCAGTCGAGATGAGCGACGCAAAGGCCCCATTGGGCAGCTGAGAAAGCAAAGACTCGCTTCCGTTTGTGCTGTAAGGCTTCTCATTTTGCTCCTCAAACTGGTAGAGGGAGATTCCGTTGAAGTCGCCCGCCACACCAATTCTGCCAAGCTGGGAAAGGTCGAGGTTCGCATCGGAAACTGGGGTGAACTGGATTGCTGCCACCGAGGGAGGTGCGAGGGCTGCCACTGCAAGAAGGTTCGCCCACTTACTCCGGCGCGCCGAAGGGCGCTGACCGAGAGCTAAACGCATTGCTATTGCTGTTCGGTCGGCAAGAGGGTGGTGAGTTGGGTGCTGTGAATACCGGGTATCGAAGCTGTTGAATTGAAGATTTTTGATGCTTGAGAATCGGACTGGATATCGCGTCGCATTTGCAGGAATCTAATTTTGGATGCTGGCCATGGAAAGAATGATGTCTGCTGCTTCGTTTGATCGGTCGCGAGTTCGGAGGCGCGTCGAAAATCGGTGGTGCGAAATTAAACGGAGAGAAGGAGTCGAATCGGGTCGAGTCGAATCGGAAGGTGAGGATTTAGCGAATAATCGGGGGAGTGAAAACGAGCGTCTGTTGTCGGATGTAGAGAAGGAAAAGAAAATAGAGAGTAGTTTGGTCGCCCAGTTCTATCGTCGGACAAGAAAAAAGGTTAGAACTGAGTTGCAGCCATTTGATGGCAGCGACGACGAGGTGGTGAGAGCTGCGCTTCCTATTCTTCCCCCTGCTCTTTGTCGACCGCAGTGTTTTGTTGTTTGTTGGTGGAGAGGCGGACAGACACAGACGCAGACGCAGAGCCAGAGCCAGACGGGAGCCCAGAGGGAAGGAGAGAGGCTGAGTCGCCAGACGAGATGGGGCCCGGAATGGAAGGTGCGGGCCCCACTTTGCAGACTTGTACCTGCCCGTACCTGCGCCAGGGAAATTGGTGGTGACTTTAGGTTGCACTTACCTCCTATCAAAAGCACTGACACTTTTTTGTGGGTGGGGCGGTGCCTCCACTCGCCGTAAGGTACCTTACGGAGTAAGGTACGGATACGCAGTCGCGGCCACGGCTCCGCGGCTGCTGATTGAAATGTGCTCGGATGGGTTGACAATCGGTTTAGGCTGGCTTGGGGCAAGCTTGACGAAAGCAAGTCCACCAAACGTGAAATGAAGCAGACCGATTGATGAGAGACCAAGTGAACCGTTTTGTGTCGGTCGTCGGCTGGCGTCTCGGCGAAGAAGAAATTGTTACCCGAATGTTGAATAAGAAAGGGGAAAGAATGAATGATTGTGAGTTGCCCTAAAAAGGTGACTGTATGTATGGAGTGAGTGTGGATGGGTGCAAGTTGCAGCTGGGAAGAGCGAGAGAGAGATAGAGACGGGAAATCGACGGGAATCTGATCGGAGTGGATTCCAAGAGGTGAAATTGAAACAGAGTCGCGCGCGAAAGCTTCGAGAAATGAGTGTACTACGTTGTCGACGTGGATTGATGAGATGCTTGTCTCGTGTGTTTGCAAATCCGTAGAGGACCGCCGAAATGTCTCGCTGCGGTGTCGCCTCTTGCTGTGACACGAGGTGTCTGTGCCAGGTCGGTCAGGTAGAAGTATCCGTAGGTAGCGTACAATACCTACTACCTGACTCTGTAAGGTAGGTAAGGTAAGCAAGCTATCAGGAGAAGAAAGGGCGATCGTTGGAAAAGCCGGTGACGCCACGGGAGCTAAACGTCTCGAGAAGAAATGGCTCTAGTTCAACATCGGCCAATGAATGCTTCTGAGAGGGACGACCAGCGCTGTCCCCAATCTCGGATTCTGGGAGATCTCCAAATGACGATTTCCCTCCTGTTCCCTTGACCTAACGGGTGCTAAAATTCGATTCGAATGCTTCTTTGGCGTCTTTCTATCGTCTACTGCGTAGTTGTGCTCTGTACTGCTCCAGGCGAGAATTGACTCTTCGTATACGCTGTAGTCACTGCAAGCCGCTATGCCTACGCCTTAGGTTGTCTTGCGTTTTCTTTTTCTACTCTCGTGCTGCTTGTTTGTCGTGAGTGGCTGGCCGAGCGCAGAAAGGCCGGGTAGATGGCAAAACGGTCCGGGTAAGGCGTCGGTAGGGATATTATGTTGAATCTACGGTGAAGACGTCGAGACTGCCCATGGAATAGAAGAAGGAAGATTGGTAAATGAGCGACAGAGATGTTCCGCGAAGGAAATCTCGGGGCGAATGGGGGAGAGGGATTCCGTATGGAGCAAACGTCGAAAAGAGAAGCAGAGAAAAAGGAGCAGCTCAACCAACGAAGAGGAAAGTGCCTCAGTCACAATCCTGCAGGCTGCAAGTCACAGTTGGGAGTTGGGAGGAGCCACTTTCACGTTATCCGTACCACTTTTGCTCCTTCAAGCGCTCTTAGCAGGCAGGGGTTGATGTCAAGAATGCCCGGGGGGTCATCGGCGTCGTCCAGTGTGTCGTGGCATCGGCGGCAGACCACACAAAAAGAATTGGCAAGCCTTCTAGGGTACTATGTATGGAGCAGCAAGGCCTGGATTTAGAACAGCGATATGCCAGGTGAAGAAGGTATAGGTGTAGACTTTCATCCTCCCTTTGCAAACATGTCACTAGGAAAGTCACCCGTTTCCTAAAAGAGGTTCGTGGCCATCCAGGAAAAGACCAAACACATCTTATCTGAATCTGTCATGATATGCCATCCGCAGGTTCGGGACCCTCAAGACGTTGAGAGGGAGAGCTTCAGAGGGCCCTCCCTCCAGTCTCCCTATTCCGATTCTGGGACATGATTGACGGTTTGACCTCTGAAGTCTGGCTGTTCTGACGGCTGCCCGCGGTCCAGGCCCAAGCAGCGCACGTTCTTCCTGCAGGAGTTCCCAGCTGCCGCTACGCCCGATACAGCAGAGTGCCAGTCTGCCAGAGACCAGACGGGCCACATCTCGAAGTGCCTGGGCAGATGACGGACGGCAGGTGGGGGGGAGCAAGCTTGAAGGTCGAGGAGGTGCCGGCCACTCAGCATTTAGGAATCAGGAAGAGACCAGGAGGTTCCACTGCTCGAAGAAAGTTGCTCAAAGATGCTTTGGATGTGACAAAGTGCTCTGACTGGCCCATCTCGAGTTACATTCGCATTTGCAGGCACTGCCAAGCAGGTACGGATAATACATAGATACATCAAACAGACACTTCACTTATTTTAGCGTCAGGTACAAGGCAAGTGCAGACCACTCGCCCTTCCATCTTTCCACCTCAGCTCGCGACGTGGGGTTTTCCCCCCCCCCCCCCAATCCCAATCACCCCAAACCCCCAATCATCCTATCACATCCGTCTCAAGTTTCTCAACCCTCCTTCCGCGCCGGCCGTTCCTTGCATTATCGTCCCCGTGCACACCTCAGCTAAAAAAGATGCCATGCGATGCGATGGCAGTCCCAGGGGCTTGTCATCCAGTCAGTCGGGTATCCTCTCAGGCTCTCGCATTTGGCCGTCCACGGTATGCATGGGATACCTTGTGAGAGTTTTAAGGGGTCGGGTCCTTCCTCCTTGGAGACGCGACTCGGGGGGGGAGGCAGAGCATCTATGTACGGATACACAGCAGGTGTACAAACTCACACCAAGTAAATCATCCCCCGGAGCCGCGGGAAGAGAGAAAGACTGGTGCTCTGCTCCCTCCGTAGCGTACGGATAGAGAATGACGAAGGGGGGGATCCGGCGTCGCGGCATGGATCATCAAGCCGTCCCCTCCCTCGTCGCTTCCAGTTTGCAGTGTCGTCCGAGGTGACCGTGACGACTGGACGAGGGGGCCCGCGGCGCCCCATCTTCAAACCCAGTTGGTCTCACAGCCCATTCCTCGGTGGGGGATATCCCGGCCTGCGGCGTCCGCTCTCCAATTGATTGAACTGTCATCGCAACCTCTGCTGCATAAAGTGCATACACATCGTTCACGATGCATCAATTGGCTCATCGGTCTTCCGTTCACTGGTACTTCGATTTTCGATTCTGAGCAAGATTTGGTAAAGGACATTTCAAAATTGGCCACGTCCATTCCTTCAAGGGAACTAATTGCCACGGCCCGATTCTGGACGGCGCAAAGCAGGGAAACGTAGGAAACCAAACTACCTAGCATAAGGAACGCAGCGGGCAGTGCTCAAAGTGGAGGATAAGTTCCAACGAACTCGAATCGCGAAAAACCAAGGCAGAAAAGGAGAGTTGAAAGCTCTCTGTCCCGGCGCGTCTGCCCACCCACTTATCGGATCCCTCTGTTGGAAAAAAAACCACTTTAATTCACCATTATGCGCGGTTGTCGAAAGCCGACTACCCTGTGAATTACACAATCCAAAAAACCTCGCCGCACAAACGAAACAATCCAATTCCTTCCTTCCACGAGGAAACAGCTTTATGCGACCTGGATTACGTGCTTGAGAGGAACGATCAACGATTACTAAGAGCGATATATAGACCTATCTTATGCAGAGAGCCACACCATATACCTACCTTATGGTCCATGGATGCAAATAGGGGTACCACATGTTACATCCCCCCCTTCGTTCATCCAAACACTAGGTTCTCTATACGGATACGCTACGCATACCTAGTTCGAATATTTCGACTTTCTCGCTGTGGCAGCATTTACACATCGGACGGCCAGCAATAAAGCCTCGAACAAACTCCAGGCATATTAAGGGCACGGCCGGCTTGCTTCATGATTGTTCACATGAACAATCCCGGTTTGGCCGTCAACAATGCATTCATGTACAACATACTGCGTACACGGATCAGCCCTGGTCTCCATTGGTATGCAAACTGCACTACACGTAGGCACTTGGAAGCGTGAGGTGGGAACCCTTCCCATCGGACACCGGTGTTAGCGTTAGAGTGGAGACGTCGATCCGGCACATCAAGCAACCGCCGCCATTAATGTTCTATGGATGCACCGCCGTCAAAACGCCGTCACCATCTCCCTTTTCCCCCTCCCCGGTGCCCCCGTCCCGGCTGCAGTTTGCGCATCATCTGCAGAAGGTTTCTCCATCTCCGTCTCATCACCCTACCACGAAAAGGCCCGTCCACGCCTTAGGGCCTCTGATTGGCCCATCAGCTTAGAATTGCTCCCGATTTCATTACTGCCAAGCTGCTTCTGGTTTTCATCAGGAGGATTCCGAGGATGAGGTATAGTCTGCAGGGCCAGTGGTCATGAAAGTCTTTTTTCTTCTTCTACAAAGCTAACGGAAAACCCCTCGGCTTGCTATCGCTATCAGCTGTGGGCGGGAACGCGTGATATCGCATTTGCTTATACAGCTTCGATACGTCTCAGCTCCGGACATATCTTCAAGGGCACAGTCCAGCGAGTCCTTGTCATCGATTTGTGTGCTGCCTATTCCGGGGATGCGGTGAGAATGCATCCTTACTGGCCTACGCTCCCTGGACCTTGAAAGTGCGGCCGCTCGCCGTCTTCCGTTCCTTCTCCTCGCTATCGGGTCTTGCGCGGCGAAGAACTGCGTAGTATTAGTCAAAAAGTTCACCCCGAAATCGAACTGTATCATACCTTGGAGGAAGTCGGCAGTTCTCTTGCGCATTCTTGAGTGGATGTACGCCTTCGATGCCTTGATGTGGTAGTGGAAGTAGTCGCGGAAAGTCTGGATGTGGGAGATGCAGTCGGGCATTCTCTGTGGTGTAAGGTGTCGAGGGAAAAGAACTATCACAAGACGTCAATGGCAAAGCAATCAAGCTATGTAAGGATAAACACTCACCAAAGGTAACGTATCCGATCTCGCCGGTTCCGGTATCTCTGACACCAGGGACTCCCTGGAGCTCCAACGGGGGGTCGTTCCTGAAGAGCACCTGGGGAGCGTTCTGGATAGCTCGCCGGCGGGCGTCGACGAATTCTTGGATGAAGATCTTGCCAAAGACACGATCGGTTTCCTCGCGGAAGATGGTGCTGAAGATAACCGTGACACGGTCGTGACTGGCCTTGACGTAGATAGCTTCCTCCTCGCGGTAGTGGATAGCCATGACCTCGCCGCCCTCGCGAACACCCTGCGGGGCTTCCTCAGACGTGTACTTGGATGCCTCCTCCTTCAGCTTGTAGTGCTCCTCGTAAGCGGCCTCGAAAGGCGCGGCCATGGCGTTGCGCTTCAGCAGCGCCATCTTCATGATCAGCGCATCCTTCTCTTCTGCATTTTTCGTCAGTCCCAAGTATCACCCGGTATAATTGCAGTGTAACTGACCCTTCTCCTCCGGGAGGCTCTCCAAATCGATCAATACCGAGAAGTCGTACCCGGGTTCCGGCGGCACCACATACTGGCCATATTCCCTCTGCAGCACTTGCTCTGCCCCATACTTGACCAAGTCCTTGTAGCACCTTATTTGAATCGAAAGCTGAATCCTGGTCTTCGTCTCGGGGGTCGAGATGTGGTAGATGACGCCGTCGAAATCGGAGACGGTCTGGTCGATGTGTGCAGGAGGGGCACTGCCTTGGAAGTTAGGAAGCTAGCCGAACATGGGCTACAATGGTTCTCATCAACGTACCCAGAGAATCTCTCGGTGAGGACCGACTGAATCAGAACATTCTGATAGTCGAGGAGAAGCATCTTGTCTGCGACCAATTGTCCGTACGTCTCCTGTGATGTTGTTGCGTCGTTGGATGCTGATGATGCCTCGTGGTGGGGCCCGCCTGACGTGGAGGTCGCTGTCGGAGCTTCTGTGGCTGTGATGCTCATGCGGGACCATTGATTGCGGATATACTTCGGCACTCCCGGTCCTCTCCACTTATCCTCTGATCTTATCGATAAGGTGAGGGAAACTTTTTGAAAGATTGGAAGGTGGGAGGTTCGAGATTTTGACGATTGGTTTACTCGTCGCATTCTAAGGAGCCATTGACAAAGGGCTTTTGGGGCGCCAGGAAATCCGCAAAAATGGTCAAATCATACTTGTAAGGTTTTACAGATGTCGCGGACTTTACCAGTGTGTCTAACATTTGTTTTTTCTTCAGGAAGTACGAGCATAGCAAGTCTTTCGGCGTTGTCGCATCCAACACAGCAAACCTCGCCTGGGCTCCCCAAGGCAGAGCTGGCAACGGCGCCGGCCAAGCAATCGTAGCCGCGAACGAGGATGTTTTGTGTTGGGATATAAAGAAGGGCGAACTACTTAGCAGGTGGCGAGACGAACGAAACACGGTACCCGTCACTGCGATCGTGCAGAGTAAAGTCGACACAGATATTTTCGCTGTCGGATACGAAGATGGAAGCATTCGATTATGGGATAGCAAGATCGCCACGGTGATTGTCAACTTCAACGGACACAAGTCGGCGATTACGACACTGGCATTCGACAAGTCGGGCGTGCGATTGGCCAGTGGCTCCCGCGACACGGATGTCATTATCTGGGATCTCGTGGCTGAGGTCGGCCAGTTCAAGCTGAGAGGACACAAGGATCAGATCACAGGACTGCAATTCGTCGAGCCGGAGGGACAGGTCGAAGATGAGGAGAACACGGCAATGCTGGACAGCGACCCGTCAGCGGAGGGCTACCTTCTTACGACCGGCAAGGACTCCCTGATCAAGCTCTGGGACCTGTCATCGAGGCATTGCATCGAGACACACATCGCACAGACGAATGGCGAATGCTGGGCATTGGGACTTTCCCCCGACTACAGCGGTTGCATCACGGCCGGAAACGACGGAGAGCTGAAGGTGTGGTTCCTGGATACGACAGGACTCGCCGCTTTGAAGGGTCAGGTCGACGCTCCGCAAAATACGAAATTCCTCCATGACAGAGGGACGTTGTTCCGTCAGCATAAGGACAAGGCTATCGAGGTGATCTTTCACCCCCGCCGAGACTACTTTGCAGTCCACGGCGTAGAAAAGGCCGTGGAGGTGTGGCGCATAAGGTCGGAGGCAGAGGTCAAGAAGTCCCTGGCCCGGAAGAGGAGAAGAAGACGTGAAAAGGCCAGCAAGGAAGGAAAAGAGGAGGCCGATGCTGCGACTGAGGGTGAGGATCAGGCAGAGGATATTTCCGCCGCAGAGGCTAGCGACTTTTTTGTTCAGTACGTGATTGTCCGAACGGGCGGCAAGGTGCGATCTGTCGACTGGGCGGTCAATGGTGGAAGCAAGGAAATACACTTGTTGGCGGGGACGACAAACAACCAACTCGAGTACTACAGCATACCTACAAAAGAGGGCTCCAAGTCGAAGAAGGAGGATGTGCCCGACTACACGCGGTCGCTGGCCGTGGAACTCCCCGGACACAGGACAGATATCCGCGCCGTATCGCTCAGCTCTGACGACAAGATGTTGGCGACGGCTGCCAACGGAAGTCTGAAGGTCTGGAACATCAAGACGCAGGCCTGCATCCGCACCTTTGAGTGCGGTTACGCTCTTTGCTGCGCGTTCCTGCCCGGAGACAAGGTCGTCGTCGTCGGAACAAAGACGGGAGAGCTTGAGCTCTTTGATGTCGCGTCCGCGAGCCTGCTGGACAGCGTCTCTGCGCACGAGGGTGCCATCTGGTCATTACAAGTTCACCCCGATGGCAAATCGGTGGCATCAGGTAGTGCCGACAAGTCAGCCAAGTTTTGGGACTTTAAGATTGTCCAAGAGCCGGTTCTGGGCACCACGCGCACGACACCTAAGCTGAAGCTCGTCCAGTCAAAAACACTCAAGGTGTCCGACGACATCCTCTGCGTGAGATACTCTC